AAGTACTAATGATTCTGTATGAAACAAATGATAATCTGAACATATTTACTTTAAAAAATGAGTTTCTCCATGTTTCCTCAACCGAACAAAAATTGAGAAAAATAAACATGAATTCTGAGAATAATTAGAGATATTGAAAAAATCGTTTCATAGGATTTTCTATTTTTTTGTATGTTGTGTAAAATTTAATGACAAATTCAAAAAGTAAAAGAAAAATATATGTTGGCGTGTTGGATTTTTTTTAAAATGGCAGTTTCCATGGTAACCGTATATCTCAAAATTGTCAAAATAGCCAAACTGTGTTATAATAATGTATAAAATAGCTTATTTCACTCACAATAAACATAATTTTATACAAAGCTTGCTTTATCTTAGGATTCTGTATAAAACAAACGATAATTGGAACATATTTCTTTAAAAAATAAGTTTTCATGCTTTTTAACTAAACAAAAAATGACAAAAATAAACATGAATTCTGTAAAAAAATTAAAGCTATCAAGAAATGTTTTTCATAGAATTTTCTACATTATTGATATATCAAGTAACATTTGATGGTGGATTCAAAAATAGAAATAAAATAGATATGTTGACGCGTTAGTTTTTTGTAAACGGGCAGTTTCCGTGGTTACCGCATATGCCAACTGTCAAAATTTCCACGCTTTCTTAAAAAATATCAGTGTTATACTAAATGTATTGTCAAATATACAACAAAAACATGTTGTAATAAAAATTTCTTTTTCTTTTGATGTTATATTTAAGTTAATGATACTGAATATCTTTTAAAACATATCTAGGGCCATATTATTTTTTTCACTCGACTAACATACCCGAACAGTAAGCAAGTATTCAGAAATTTACAAAGAAATAATGAAATTCGGAAACTTTCTTAGATATTTATTTTGTTTTTTTATTCAACACTTTTAAAATATATCATTTTAAACTTCTTTGCCCAGTTGTCTGCCAGTAATCAAGTCGCGGCGCACTTTCGTCACTATACCACCAAGTGGGTGGTAACGCGCGCAGAATAATCATCAATGCTGTCGTACTAATGCTTGGAGAAATCCTTTATGTGATGTTGTCTAAACGACCTCTTATTCTTTTGAACCGATCTCCTTTTGAACATTTAGAAATATCTATTCTGTATTATTTACTCATTATTTGCTTATAGTCGAAATTTAAACACTTATCCGAATACTATTCAACTTGACCTTCATTTGAAGAGTAATAATCCGTGATTATCTTTCTTGGAAGCGCATAACGATGCGCACAGAAAACTACCGAAAACGTCTTTAAATACCAATATATTGTGATTACTCAAAACGTACTGAATTGGCTTTTATGAAAATTGAAGAACGGATAGGAGAGAGAGAGAGAGAGAGAGAGAGAGAGAGAGAGAGAGAGAGAGAGAGAGAGAGAGGGAGAGAGAGAGAGAGATTTTTGTCTAATATGCACAGTTGTTTTTAGGATTAGAAAGAATATGTTAAGCTTAATAGCATGCTTGAATTTTCTTGTATAATAAATTATCCACGCCCTGTGTATGTTTCAAAACCTTACCTTCAGGTAAGGAATGTTAAATATTAATTCGTCAAATACTTTATTCTTAACTCTGATAGAAGAGAATGGTTGTAAAAACCATGTTGAATAGAAAGTTAAAAAAATGGTACAGATGAAAAGCCTTCAAAAAGGCGAATGGCTTGCATAATTATGACTATTCCATCGATCGTTTATCATTAAAACAGTTTCATTACAATAAACTTTTATTGGTAATGTAGCCCGTTATTGGGCTCAGACACAAAGAAGTGAAGTTGCAATTGACCTATCATGAAATAATTCTCGTTACCGCAAGAGAATGATTAATATTCAAAAGATCTGTTAACATAGGACGAAAGCAAGAGTAGATACCAATAACATTTTTTGGTAACTAGCCATCATTTGCAGAGCTTACACAGAATGATTAAACATATTCAAACATGAAAGTATTGTTGTGTTAAGTTAAGAATAAAGACAAATTGAACATAAACAGTTACTGTGTAACCATTATGCATTTACTTTACACAAGAACCCATCAATATTCATTTACACAAAATTAAAAAAAGAACAACATAGATTTCTATATTATTAGAATTAACTTACCTAAGCCTATATATCTAAAACATGCTATGCAGACATCAATGAAGGTGATGACGATGCTTTGATGTTTTCCGGCTTGAATTTCAAACTCTTCCCACTTGAATGGGTGATTCAAATAAGAAAGGGATACAAGAAACATACTTGGTTTATTGCACAGTTCTTGTCTAATATTGGACAGTCCATTTGAATGTAGTGAAAAACAGGGTGGAGTGTCTGGAAGAAAATAAATAAAAAGCTAATTTTTTGTTTAGTTTGTATGGTTTAATATATAATGTCATATTCCATTGCATTTGTAATTTAATGAATATATTTATACTGATAAATAGGTTTGGAACAGGAAACAAATGAACAGATCATTGTGTACCTAAGTAGGTAGCTTAAACTGTAAAGTTTTTTTCAAGTTTGGGATTCAGAACTACGTCGTATCCTATCAAATGTAAACAAACGCCACAATCTTAGAACAAAAAAAAAGAATGTTTTGGTTTATTCCGCTTTTTGTTGGAAATGATTGAAATCAAGATATATGTATTAACACTCTCAACTATTTTCCGCTTCATTCGGTGTAGATTGCTTGCACAATTTTTTGTAAAACAAAAGTTATTGCGAACTTGCAACTCGAAGCCGGCAAGAAATTTTATGAAGTTTGTGGGTACGACGCAGTTTATTTTGCTTTATTCCATCGTTTTTTACCTCCAATCTACTATATACTCGTTTCAGAGTTTACCATGAATTTTAAAAAAATATAATTTTGCAAAATTCACAAAACTTCATTAAACAAAGATATGTTTTTTTCCAAGGAAATAATGATTTGTACGATATGATACGAAGGAGGCAAGGACCTCAAATGTTGCAACTGCAGAGACACTTCGACATTTTGGAGCTAGCTTGATAGGTTTTCCATGAGTAGGAATAAAAAATCCCTGGTGGTTTTCAAATTTACAGTAGTTCAGCGTATATAAAATTCGGCCTCGGTCGGATACACCTGTTTGATTTTTTTCCAACAAAATTTGTGAACTATTGTGTAATTTCAGCTGTACAAATAAACATTTTTTTACAAACCTTTGAAATGAAGTTTTAAGATTAAAAATACTTGAATTAATTAGAAATAGAATAACTATTTTTTTGTTGAAATGAATTACGTTCTTGCGCTCAAGGATCCCTTTTTTCTTAGATATTTACATTAAAAAAATAATAAATTTATAAATGTGTCAGTGGTGTGAGGAGCAGAGAAAATTACAATGTAAACAGGGGGTAATCCCCTTTAAAGTCATTGTCTAAAGAAAAGAATTGTTTATGTGTCAGGCAATACACCATTATCATAGAACAATGACACTTTAGTATAAATGCTCTAATTTAAGGAATGTCTTAAGTCTATGGGAAACTCAATACGATAATCCGACCCAAATATTGATAAAAATGTACAATGCTATTGAATCAATTCATACATCGCATATACCACTATCAAGTTTAACGGTGCCAAGTGTAAAATACCTTTTCAAAACGGACAACTCCTTGACAAAATTATTTGTAGCTTTTATCATTTTACTCGATATTGAATATTCAGAGTTTATTATGGAAAAGAATGATACTGTATTTCAAATATCTTATTAATTTTAAGAAAATATATTTCGTCTGTTCTCATCGACGATAAAGAAATGCAATACGACAAAATCAGCGATAAAGTTCCACGGATGAAACGACTGCACGAAACGCATACCTTACTTGCAAAAATATCGTAGCTTAACTTTATAATATAACACTAAAAATTAAATGTGGATTTTAGAGATAAATAATACATTATTTCAAATACCGATTACAGTTTCATATGTTCGATTATTAAGAAAATGAATACAATAAAATCGGCACTTAAAGACCTAGGTAATAACGGAATTTTCCAATAGCAAGATAGAATTTTTTTTGTTTTTTTATTGTTATTACTGTCCAGGAGAGGTTTCTTTGGAATATTGAAAATTTGTATCACAAAACTGCAAATAAAAAGTAACCTCCCCCATTCCTTTCGAACTCACAATAACAATTATCAAGCATGTTAAGGCAATACTAGAACACGTTGTCATATGGGTGTGCGATCACTGTAACTTTCAATGTATGTAGCATTTGATACACCTTTACTAAATTTGTAGATGCTTATCACAAGTGCTTAAAACAAGACTGAAAAAAATGAAGCCTTAATAGAATGTTAATACATTTTCCATTTCGTGGAACCAGTGAGTGACCTATTGACTTAAATTGTATACAAGAACACATGTGCGCATTCATAATGATAAAATATTCACAAACAATAAATGTTGTAACTAGCATACTTAGCGCATGTTTTTACAGTTGAACCTTTATTTAGCTTACAATGAATTTTCAACTGCGTCGTATCATATTTTCTTTTTAAACTGCACGGTATCATTTCGTTCAAATCATTATTTTGTTGGAAAATAAATATTTCCTATTAATGGAATTTTAATAAATGATGTAAATGTATATTTCGAAGTTTAAATTTAACTCTGAAAAAATATGTCATTGATTTGAAGATAGAAAAGATGGATTTTGCAATATGAACTGTGTCGTACACAAAACTTTATAAACATTCTGTCCCGCTTCGAGTTCCTTAGTTCGCTTAAAACTTTTGTTTTACAAAAAAATTGTGCAAGCAAGCGGAAAATAGTGGGGCGCCTTAAAACATATGTCTTGTTTTCAGTCATTCCCCACAAAAAGAGTAATAAACTGAAAAAAATATTTTTTGCGTTCTAAGATATCGGCGTTTGTTTACATTTGGTATGATGCGACGCAGTTAAGATTCCAAGCCCCGTTTTTCGTCTTTATATGTTAATATTAACTACATTGGCAAGCCGAAACCACGAACACTTGACACAGTGATCAGTTTGTCGTTTTACCGCGTTTTCGTGATTTCGTTATTTTGTCTGGCGCCCCGCGGAGCAAAAAGCGAAAGCACGAACGATAGACAAAGATATCGTAGGGATATTACAACAAAGTATCTACATAGTCATATTCATTTTGCGCCCTGCGGACCGAAAATAAGACCTGGCACAAATCAACCAGCATAATAAATTGAATGTAAGACTTTAATCACTGGATTCAAAACCTTGATTTAATCTATCAAGACATTTTATATATCGGATTCGTACTGTTTACAATCATTTCAAATGTGATATTTCAAAGACTACAATTTTGCAGACTGTTTACTTAAGCCACTGTATGACCATACTCGGTATTGGCAAATTAGATCATTACTGTATCAGTCTTCTGGTATTGATACAAGGAGTCAGAATCCTAATAGGTCACCTACAACTTTTTTATTTTTCTCGGTAAAAGAGTGAGTAAATAAAGACAAAATATAAAGATAACCTTAAATAGAAAAAAAGGTCTATAAATAAAGAACTCCAGAACGGGAAAATTGAAAATATTGCAGGGTCAGTTTCCTTATGCCAAATAGTGGTAAATCTAAGTTTTTGTGCAGATTGTCTTCAAAATAAATAAGTCTAGCACAGAAATGTTAAATAAGATTATATTTCAAAGGCAGTCATCCGCTGAATAAAAATTCAAAAAGTAACAAAGCATACAGTACAAAAAGTTTTATATTTGCAAAGAATGAATGTTAAAACTAGAGCAACAAATGTTCTTTAACTTTGTTTTATGAAATACAACTGTAATTGACAAAGATATGATTTTTTTTAAGGTTTTCCTCCTACGTTTTAGTTGCCTGCCTTGTGCTCTTTGTATCCAATTTAAAAGCAGATAATTAAATACTGTGGCAAGCAACACATCGTTTGATTTGAAATTAAATCAATGTTTGTTACTTTATTCCCTGTCAGGATGCAAACTTTTCCTTTTATTCTTATGACATGATTTTATTTTATTTTGTATATGCTGTAATGAAATGATAGAAATAAAGTTCCAGTTATGCCAAATTATTCTACGAAAAATACAGTCGCTTTACTTATTGAAACATAATTGTAAAATGTCTATTGGAAATTAAATTTTCTTTAAGTTAAAAAATCTTTGTAAAATAACTGAACATGAGCTAGAAATGTGTCCATATGTCACGGGCACCCCCAAAATGTACTGTTTAGTCAATCTTATGATTCTAGGTCAAATATTTTTGGGCTACATGTGCCGCAAGTTGAAAACTAAAATGTTTACTAAGTAAAGGGAAATAACTTTACAAATACTGCATACATCCACAAGCTAACCCCAAGGTGAAATAATACACATGCTGATCAACATTCTTGTACACTTACAGGCCTACAGGTCAAATACTTTTTGAGCTCTGCATAATCAAGTTGAAAATTGCAAATTTATACTAAGTCAAAGGCACAAAGGCAATACTCTAACAAAACTAAAAAAAGGCCACATGATGCATTGGTTCAAAACGATGTTGATTATTATTCCCGCAAAGTTGATTGATTATAACTCAACCACTCAAGGAACAAATAACACAACATAATGAAACGGTTTTTACTAAGTCAAGGGTAATAACAAATACTGGATAAATCCACAAACAAAATCCATGTTGCACAACTACATATGCTGATCAACATTCCTGTTAAGTTTCATGACTCTATATTAAATACATTTTAAGTACGCTTCACACAAATAGAAAATTGTAAATTTTCACTTAGTCAACGGCAATAACTCCAAAAATACCACTTCACAAGCGAAACCCCTGATGCAAAACTTCACATGCTGATCATCATTCCGGTAAAGTTTCATGACCCTATGTAAAAAAAACTACATGTGACAAAAGTCAAGGACAATAACTCTAAAATACTAAATAAATCTAAAAGAAAAGAAACACAGGTGCACAACTGCACATGCTGATCAACATTCCTGTGAAGTTTCATAACCAGGTCAAATACTTTTTTTTAGCTATGTGCGACACAACTTGAAAATTGCGAATTTTTACTTAGTCAAGGGCAATACCTCCAAAAAGACTAATTATATCCACACAGAAATACCAAGGTGCACAGTTTTATATACTGAGCAACATTCCTGTAAAGTTTCATGACTCTAGGTGTAATACTTTATTAGCTACGTGCGACACAAGTTGAATATTTCGATTTTTGTAATAAGTTAAGGGCAATAACTCTAAAAATACCAAAAATATCCACACGAAAATACCAAATTGCACAACTACACATGCTAATCAACTTTCCCGTCAGGTTTCATGACTCTAGGTCAAATAAGTTTTGAGCTACGTGCGACACAAAAAGGAACGGACGGACGGAAGGACGGACATGTCAGCATTTAGGGTTTATGTGATTTTACTTTGATCTTTATGTGGCATTTATCCCCATAAACCAGTAAAATTACCACATGAACCAGTAGGTTTATGGGATTTTCTTCTTCTTTTAACTAAAATTAAGGACGAAATGAAGATCATAGACAATTGGATGTTCGCCCGGATGGACGGACGGACGGAGGGATGGACAAGGGTAAATCTAAATGCCCCCCTTATGTGGGGGCACAATAAAAACTGAATAATTTCAAATTCAATAATCTTTGTTCTGACATGCATTTTTAGAAGCCTGTTCTTGATAAAATTGTATAAGCTTTTTGAAACGCTTTTAGTAACCTGCATGAAATGCTTTTAACTCACTTACATGTGCAGATTTACTAAAAAGCAGGATACTGACCGCTAAGTTGTCATGACTTGATTTAACTATAATATTATAAAGTCAATCAATGTGAAAGAAAAGGATTTACTCTAGTTTACATCTATAACGATAGTTTATAGAGACAAATGAATTCTAAGCGCCATTAGATTCTGACGGCAAGCATTCGAATGGCATAGATAAGGTCGTGTATGTTATATTTGGCATATCTGTTGTTTTTATATTAATGAATAAACATATATGTGATTTGATACCTCAAGTGATGTTGTGCGTATGACATAGAACATATTAAGCTCATTACTTGGTGAATGTATGTAATTAAATAATATGTAAATGATGTTACAAATTGTTTATTTTTGGAAATGTTTAAATCATTACATGAATAGTAGGTCCAACGTTGCCGGGTGTTGTGAAAATAAATATATCCTCATTATGTATATTCATAACACAATGTCACTTTAATAAAATTTACTTAATTTATCGTAAACATTGCAGTTTAGATTACTGCACTAATCCTAACAACTCGTTCAATTCACATTTTTTCAAGCCGCAACGTGATTTACGTGTTTTGTTGAACTTTGGTATTGTATGATTGATTCATATAAGACAACTTGATTTGAAAAAGAATATTCATTAATATCTTACTGTTGTAAATTGTTTGTTATTTATCTCCTTGAAAACATTAACATCGAACTTTGTTTTATCAAACAAATTATCTGCTTAATTGTCTTCAAGTCAAATCAAGTTAAGAAAACAAAACCTGGTCACTTAATCATATTTTAATTTTCCTAAATGACAGCTCATTGTAGCGTTATGATAATATTCATTAGAGTGTGGCTATCTCAGTTGTAAAGCATCTATGAACAAACTATTCAAAGTGATGAACCAATGTACTTGGCAACATGGACAAAAAGTCGTTTTTGTTTGTTTGTTTTGGGTTTTACGTCACATCGACACAGTATATGTCATATCGCGACGTTCCAGCTTTACTGGTGGAGGAAGACATCAGGTGCCCTTCCGTGCATTATTTCAGACACAAACGGGTACCTGAGTAGAACCACCGACGTGCCGTAAGCTAGCTGGATAACTTTCTCACATGAAAAAATCCAAAGACCCTGTCGGGATTTGAAACCACAGAGGTGAGGGGCAAGTGGTTTGAAGTCAATGACCTTAACCATTCGGCCACGGACGCCCCTACAAAAGTCGTGTCTGTCCGTAATTTGAGCAATTATTTATGACAAACTAGTATATAAACTAGGAAATATTATTGTCTGTAGTTAAACTTGTAATACATCTAAGGAAAATTACTTTCACTTTTAGATCACCTTAGCACAAAGTGACTAAAGTTAAGTTTTTGTGAAACTAATTTAAAGATGTTTATTGTCATTCATACGTTGTGATTTACTATGTCTTTAAACTACATCCCAGTTTTAGCTGCGTTAAACGTTTTTATCAAATTTCACAGTAATGATCCTAAGGTGGCACTTCAAAGGTATACAAATAGTTATACACAATGAATTATTACGTCTGGTCATTACTTCAACATTTATGACACTTATAAATCAATTGTAAAAAAAGGAACGAAAAACTTGGTAATTGTACTTTTTGTCCCTAAGTACCAGAAATATATTTAAAAAAAGAACGGACAGCATTTAAGGATTAGATACAAAAGCGTAAAACTGATTAAAATGTATTCATACATACCCAAACAAGACAGACACACAAGAAAATCTGATTAATGACTCAAAGAATTTAACTTTGTCAAGTTGTTGGAGTTGTAAATTAAACTAAAGTATTAAACACATTTCAACTTGGAAGGTAGCAGTTGGCTTTTTTTTAACCATAATACAATAGTTATTATAATTCGAAAAAGAAAATAAGTAATATTATAAGTACCCGCAGTTGTAACAATTGCCCGGAATTTTATCTTTGGTGGCAATCTTGCCGTGTTTGGCATTGCTGATAAGAACAACAGGTTTTTATCTGTTTCTAGTACAAATACCTTTTCGTTGTACCACGCGTCAATGCTAAATCCTTTGTTACCATCTTTCGATGTTTTAACAATGAGTTTACACTGCGTAAAAATAAAACATATAATGTAGCAATTCTAAAACAATCTTGACTACCTAACCAGTAAATTATCATTAAGAAAATATACTATCTTCAGGGCATTTAGTTGTGACGAAAATAATGTAAGGTAAACTAACAAATCAAATTGTTACTTACATAATGATATGAAAACATTTTAAGTTCCGAAAAAAAGACATTGGATTACATAACAGCAGAGTTTTGTTAGAACGACACTGTGTTAAGGTAACGTCAGTTACATTAAACAAATTGTTATTTAACATTTTTTCAATATTCAACAACAGATAAGTTGTATTTAAATGTTTACTTACAAATTGAAATTGACTATAAAGTGATATTTCTCAAAATTAGTAAAGAAGCCAATATTAACTGAAAAACGTTAATCTTACAATTTATAAAATAATGAATTTACTAACTTATATTGGAATGGTTTTAGAACCTAATGTGTCAGTGATAAAAAATCGAATGCATACCTCAGATAGTGAAACATTTGTGAATACAAATTTGGCAAACCGTCCTTGTGCAAAATTTACTATCCATAAAATATCATTGTCTAAAATTGCCGTCAGTGGGTAACTGAGTGATGTAATTATAGAGACGCCATCTATGTACTGTACGGTTCTAAAAAACGATTCTTTCTGGTAAGCCCTCGGAAAGGATACCATAGATACTGTGTTAACAAGAAAACAAGTTGATAGGAAGAAGATAATTCACTTGGTAAAATAATTTTAAAAAAATTACGGAAACAAAATCAAAATCCTGGTATGATTTCCACAAACAGGACTGCATTGAAATGCAATATTACGTGAAGCACAAATGTTAAAATGATGTCATCAATTCACTAAAAATCCTTAATGCTTCAGTTGAATGAAATATAGAGCGAATTATAAACGAGAGTTTTTGAGCACTGAAACAAGAGGCTATTTATCAATCTCGAGGGTTGATAGACCTTGCGTACAAATTTCTAGCTTATAATCATTATTCCTATGATATGCAGCCTTCGAAATCCTTATTCAACCTTGTTATGCCTCGAGTTACGTTGTTGTAATATTGATATGGAAAAGTAAATTAACCAGTGAACATTAGCAATGCAAAATCATAAATTTGTTTTCATTCAAAGTCCTTCTAAGTTTATTTCAGTTTTCTTTTTCTACTCTTTTAAACTTTTTGCGCTATTTCAAGTGCAAGCCTTGTTTATCCCCAGAATCTCCAGTTAACGCACCCTTATTGCGTATAAACTATATATCTTTGACACTTTTCCATAGAAAAAATCTTCTCAACTTTTGTATCGTTTGAGCCGTGTAGAAATGCAACTTTACATATTCAACTAATGCGATTTAATGTATCAGACAAGCATGTTTGTATTTTTGTCGCCGTTCGGTGACATATACGAGTGAATTGATTTAGCCATTTAGATCCGTATATTGCCTGTCCTAAGCAATCAGAATAAAGAATTTAATACCAAATTACAAAATATGGACGAAAAACAGTCTGAAGGAGGGTGTCTACAGCGGAACGCAATCCGCCACGCTTTTGTCGGGTGAGGGGCAAGTGGTTTGAAGTCAACGACCATAACCACTCGGCCACGGACGCCCCCAATGTTACGTATTAATGTAGTTAAACAAAGTGCATCAACGTACCCCGCAGCACGCCGTCATATAACACGCCAAGATAATGTCATATCATTAGAGCTGCGCATAGATTTCGATATAGCCAAAAGGACATACATTTTCTGCTTGGATATCCACTTCTAGTAGGTTTACTTAGGAAATATAGCAACAATGAGCTGGAACACATTTTAATCAAAATCTTTGTCTTTTTAAGTGACGCTTTAGTAATGGAAACACTCAGGACCAGATCACAAAGAGAGTGAACTAGAGATTCAAATTCTAGAACACTGTTCTCAAACATTGCTGAATTGGCACCTTGAGCGGGCGCGTTGACCTAGTGTAAAATGACACGTGTGAGACCTAAACCTAGACAAGTTTTGTACAAGGTTAAATGTTTGGTCGTACTTTCAAATAATTGTCTGATGCCATGACTCCTCTATTTCTACATACTGTTCTGTTACAACAACTTTAGGTCACAGCATACAGCGTTCACATTATTCGAAAAGTACGTCAAGGTACTTATGTCAAAGCCATAACACTATATCCTGTTATTTTACGAAAACGTTAACAAAATAATATGTTAAAAGCTGAAAGTTCCGAATGACGCTACTTCTAAGAGTTTTCAAATATGATTACAGAAAGAACGTTTTATAGTTGTCGGTTAGATATACATGTTAACTATGTAAATACCTTTACCAGACATATTCAATTTTTTAAGAATGCAGCTTAATAACGGTGAATTATTAGAAAGATCCTATTATAAATGAAGGAATTATAGCCAGAGCCTAGGAAATATCATACAGCCTACGTAGAACTTAAATGCTATCTCAATAGTCAATGCTTGAAACAATTTGATTTTCTTCCCGCGGGGGGTTTAAAAATTTTGGAACACTTTTAACAAAAAATTTTCAATTTTTTAAGGGGACTTAAATATTTTACTTTAAAAATGTTATACAACGCTAAAAAACTTAAAGTTAAAATTTTTCATACTTTTCTTTCTAAATTGCCCCAAAAATTTGGGAAGTCATTTAAAAATAAAAGAAACAATTGGGGGAAAAATTTTAAAAACAGATAAAAATCATGAAAACAAAAAAAGTAAAAATAACTTCAATATGTTTTTTGATTTGGGGGCCATTGTTTTCGGGAAAACCCTTGGCCAAAAACGAAAAATTGCCCTATTGTATTCAAAATTTAGCGTTAGGGGTTAACAATTTTTTCATATTGGTTTTATGACCTGGGTTTTGACCCTGGGTAAACCAATAACTTGCCCTAAAAATCATAAAAACAATTTTTCCAGATCGTTTTCCAAAGGAAAAAGGGGAATAAAACAGAAACCCTTTTTAAGTAAAAAGGGTTTTTATTTGGGGTCCAAAACCAAAAAAATAAGGGTTTAGGGGACTTTTAAAGGCAAATTTGCGTTAATTGCAATTTCCTAAAGGAGTCCATTTTTTTGAAGGGGTTAAAATCCCTAAAAGTACACTAACAACCAAAAAAATTTCGGGGGAAATCAACCCAAAAGTTTATAAATAACCCGCTTTAAATTTTTCAAGAAAATATTCCCGAAGTCGAATATTCAATTTGGGTTTTCATTTTTATAGATATATTTGTTACATAACCCATGATTTTTTACATCTTTTAGCGCGAAAAAAACAAAAAAAAAACACAAATTTATAAATAATATTTTTTCTTCACCGACAAAAAAATTTCCACCGGGGCCGGGGGTTTTGGAACGCTCGCATCAAGAGAGGTCTAGAGTTCGAATCCCAGTAGAGGCAACTCATTTTTTTTTTTAATTTTAAGTCAAATAAACATTGAATTGACTATCAGGGTTGCAATTAGTCTTATAGCCAATTTACTACAGTTAAAACACTGGAAAGCATTGGTGGCACTTTACAAAAACAAATTGGTTTATAATCTCACAACCTTCACCTTTCTAATATTCTGATACCCAAACAAATTCAGCGCCTTCTGTGCTTTGATTCAGTTTCGGGCTGAGTGACCTAATTGTTTAACCCAAGAGACCTATAATCGGACTTGACCTAGAAATCAGTAAAATATCCTTTCTGACCGAATCATTTTTTCTTCACTTTTTCTTTTTTTCATATTTTCGTACGTAGTCAATTTATACAGTACATGCTTAATTAAAATGTTTGAGTTCAATCATTTTTTATATTTGTGTTAAAACTTAAAGAAAAATAATATTGACAATCGCCTTAACAAACATTTTCTGTCTGAGGCCTTCATTCGAAAAATAACAATAAGTTAATCTTTTTAAGAAAATACAATATACACGCACATGAGTAGTAATACTGCCACAGACATATCCACCGCTTATATTGGACAGGTGAAAAAATGATAAATTATTTCATGACGAAAGAATGACATACCATTGTTTTGTAGCTTAGCAAACCATTGACTGCCGTTTGTAATCTTAGTATTTTTCCAAATCCCAAGTTCACTACCCATATAGTGATAACAAATGTTCTGTTCATTGTGACTGACAACACTACAGCCATTTTTAGATTTACAAAGATGTTTACATTCCTCAACACTTGTATTTCTAATGAATGATGAGTTTCCGGATCGCAATTCTTGATCTAGAGGTAGCATTTCAGATAAACTGTTGCTGGTAAGGTCAATGATACCTGTTTACAAAACAGAAAAGTTCTCTGTAATATACATTTATCATAAAGATACCAAAACCAAAGTAACTTAGTAAATAGCAACAAGAAAGGTGAAAATATGACCATCTTCATGATGAAATTATAGCCTCATTCAAAATGTTTGCAGTAAATATTCAATTTGTAAAAAGAAAGTGATCAATTAAAATTTATACTTACTTTTCAAGTTACAACCGTAAACCATAAAATCTAAGCGTCGTCGTTTAAGTGTTGGATTTGCAAGTGATTCATTTAATTTTACGTATCTTGCTTTGATTGGTCTAGGAAAAGTTATTGTCTGATCTTTTGTTAATACACTTTCAGGAAAAATCCGAAATTCCTAAAAGTAATGAATTACAGATACTTAATAAATTAAAGTAACTTCCACATCTTCATTTCATTCTCATAAGCAAAAATAGAGCAGATTTTATCTACTTTGGACAAACTGTTTATGATAAAGCACAAAACCTTATTGATTCATTATCTCATGATATTTATATATTTTATAAACATTCTAGCTTTTTATAAATGATATGTGAATATTGTATGATATAGAAGTTGAATAAGTAAAAGACATTTCAATAATATGTCAATAAGGTGTATTTATCTTAATGAGTCAAATTTATGTAAATTTCATTAAAGTTCACCCAAAGTGCATGGTTTATGATACTTTTTTTTATAATTTTAGAGGTAATTTCACACTCCCTGTTTGACGCATTCTCAATAAATCCAATTCATATAACCTGTTATTTAATTTGCCGATTAAATTTCTGGTTTAAAATTAAGAAAAGCACGATGAAAATAATATGCATCCATAGTTTTGATGTGTTCATACGGCAGTGATCACTAAATGTTGATTATCAATTAAATGTGAGAATACGGACTTTTATGTATCGTTTAACATCGGCTAATGTCGGATGGTATCGGAATAAGCGGGAACTACTCACGCTTTCTGTTGGCAGTTTATGAAACCTATCTTTAGTATATTTTTTGTCATGTAAGAGAGCGTTTTCCACTGTGGCATCATTATGTGATAAGATTTCAATATGTCGTCTTGAATGCCCATTCATCATTTGTTCATTACGGTCAACTAACCATCAGTTAATATCAGAAAAGAAGCGCTGAATGTGAACTTATTTGTTATAAAAGTAACAAAAATAAAAGCAACGTGGTGTTTTGATTTACATACAAAACTTTTGAATACTCTTACAATACTAACATTCTAACTGACAAGTTGTAACAGAAACAAAACATTATGACAGGAGACCTAAAAGAAAACAACAAAATAAACCAAAAACTGTTGAACAATGAAAACTAAATTTTGTGTTTACTTAAATAAGTCTTTATATGATCATGCTCGTAAAAAAACGGTTAAAGCAGCATTTTTAAGAAACGCCAAAATTATCTTTATACTAATTTAAATTCTGGCATAAGACATCTAATTGACAATGCATCAATAGTCACAAAACACTTCATTAATCTGTATCGTATTATGACAAAAAAAAACGAAAAATAACAAAGGTTTACCATCTTGTTTGAAAAATATTAAGAATCTTAGTTAAAATTTGTATAAGTTTTATATAACAACAACAACAAGTATGTTTTCATCAGTCAAAGATAAGTTTAATATGTATCAAACATAAGAATTGGTAAGAGAACCAAACATAGATTTGATTTAAAAACAAACAAAACCAAAGAAAAGCAAATGCTCGTTGAAAAAGATATCTGTCAGGCTTGAACTAATAGAAATAGGCATTGATATAGCTTTAGAAACAGTTCTTAATATTTGTGCAAAAATCAAAGGAAGTTTACCATCTTGATTCTGGCATTTGGAACAATACCTACTATTCACGCATTAAAAACTTAGAAGTACATGATAATTTTCCAATTCAAATCTGTTTCAATACACACGTCTGAACCTCTATTGTTTCATTCATATTATTTCTTTAAATCCATAATGACTTGTGAGTTGATATTGGAATATATCGTATTCAATTCAATGCACAAATTATATTCCTTGTTATGGAAATTGGGACGCAGCAAGTAGCGATCCACACAAACGTATACATTTAAAAAATCAAAGGGCTGCAAGCTCTGTGGTATTTTCTGATCTTTGCAATCTAAATCGCACTGTATATCAGTATTATTTTCCTGTACAAGTTTCTTTTTATGTACTTTTTATGTACTATAATTCTTTTTGCAGGGCACCATAGTTTGATACATACGGAATGTTGCATGACTAGAGTTGCATCAAAAAATCATTTATGTTCATTTTTATGACAGCCACACTTTATCCTTGCATATTGTGGCTACTTCCTTAACAAAGAAACTTTAAAAAATTAATAATAGTTGCCTGGAATGGGATTTGAACCCCAGACCTCGAACCACACTGGGACCCCCGGGAAAATTTATACGGGGAAAAAACCTGAATAAAATAAAATAAAACTTTAAATTTTAATTTTCCCTTGCATTTCGGGGTTGGGGGTCCTTTTTTTATTTTGATGATTTTTTTCACAAAAAACCCATTTTTAAATGGTAAAATTTAAATTTTGCAAAAATCTTCTCGCCCAAAAAATCCCACATGTAATATAAATTCCCCCACCGACTCAATTTTTTTATGAAAAAAACCCCCGATCGACATTTGATTTAAAAAAAGATTTTTTATTATTTAAAATTTATATTTTTTTCCCGTAAATTTTGAAGGCATTTATTGGGATTCATAAAACCCCAAAACCTACTTTTAAAAAATTTTAATGCTTTAATTTTTTGGTTCTTTAAAAAAATAAAAAAAGTTCTTTCTTTTTAATCGCTCGTTTTAAGCTGGTTTAAGAACTACTTGTTGTTAGGTTTGTCACGAAACCGCTATGTCAGAGATTGAATGTTAGCTTTGTATTTCCTGAAAATCGTTGTGTGTATGTCTTGTGATTTATACACACATGTATTTCACATTTAATATTAGAAATACGCCGATATTACCTTGTATTTCTGTAGATGAAACTTATCCATGCCAAAATATAAACTGCAATGTGTCCACGTATCTGTGTGTAAGTAAATTTTAAGTGCTTCTATTGTTGTTAAAGAAATAAGGTCCACCTAGATGAAAAATACACTGGTATTAGTTTATACATATAATTGGTTAAACGTTGCTGATGTATCTCAATTTTAAAGTGAACTAGTTTATAACGGAAAATCTTATACCATACAATAATCATGTTTAAAATGTTCTGTATCATATGTGAGAACAAACCACAAAATACTTAGTATGAATATTGTTTGTTAGTGTTAGATACACGATCAAATAGGTATTTTTTTTAATTTATATCAGATAATTGAAGTTTATACAACAAAATATTATTATTCATAATATTTATTTTAATGATAACTCACTAAAGTACGATGTATTGTTTTTTAGAAATATTTCATAAGATTATCAAAACTTTCATTCTTATTATTTTTATCAATATTTGAAAGAGTTACCGAAAATGTGCCTGCTGCATTTCAAGACTTGTTACTTTAATCCTATACGTTACACGAATTAAAACTAACCAAAAATAGCGCAAGTATTACTTTGAAATAGTTAATATTCCTTTAAAATAATTAATTGTTGTTCATAATGTTTGGTTATTCAATCGTGTAACGAAAGTTAAAGAATCTTATTCAAATCATTTTCAGCAAGCTTGCTCGACTTGCTTGACATTATTGTCACGTGACGAAAAATGTCTGTGACCCTGGTATATGAACTTGTATGTGAATCTGAAGTTGGTGTGAAGTTGATTTCTACATACACACTACATCTACATTGTATTTAATTAAAAAGATTCCCTTACAAATCTGTTAAAGTATATTGCATAGAAAAGCTATCGCATTTCTTAAAAAACTAAACGCCTGTAATAGTTTCATGCTCTCACTTTATTTTAAGAGTAAAAATTAGTGGTATACAGCTTCAAATACAACAAGGAGACCTTTATCATGTCAAGTTATATAAATAAGTTTTTCATACAGACAATAAATTTTAAGAAAATATCTTTATTTTATGTCCCCTAACACGGAGAACTCATTATTGAAAACATTAATCCAGTTATTTCATTTGAAAAAAAAACATGACAGCAACAAGTATATACATGTATATGAACTATTAATTATCAATTAAAAACATTATTTCCTATAGTTATCATGTTAACAAAAAATATACATCGACATCCTTAGGAAACGTTTTTTTTTTTTATTTAATCAGTATCTATGAATACATTATCAGTGTTTTCAATTCAATTAAGTATGCAAAAAGTGCTTTAGAATGAATTCAACAAACCAAAATCCAAGGTGTCATGTCTGCTAAGTCCTTAAACAAAAAAGTAATCCGGGACCTCAATTTTTGATCAACCGCTGAAAGTTCAGTTTTAAAATAATTGCCGGATGCCTGGGTCTCTTGTATATGAATACTTTCAAAACATGGCTCACCGTTTTCTAAAAGTAGTAGAAATAAATATAAGAATAACCAGAATCAGAAAAAAACATGACTTTCACAAATATACTTGTAGTGTAGACTTAACTAACTTGTGTCCTAATGTACGGTGGCACAGAGGTATCATATAGCAGTATTATTTAATCTTGCAAGTCTTGTGGCCATAATTTTGTATGATTATAAGTTGTGGCTACACCATAAAAAGTCCTGACCTCAAGATAATATCTTGAGGCAACAAGATGATTACTTGTGAACGCAATATAATAAGTCGTGACCACAAGATAATAAGTCTTGGTCACAAGATAAAATAATACTCCAGATGCCACCTCTATGCCACCGTAAGAATGTCACATTACCTGGTAATTGGCTATTGAAGCACTATATCAATTATAAAGTAATAACTTCATTTATAGATATGACTTGATTGTTTGAGGTTGTAACTTTTAGCAGATAAATGTGCCCTGTATGTTGTAATTATGGATGTAACTTTCATTTAAGTGAAGTTTTATATATGTATATAATTATTCTTCTAAAAACAATTCTTAAACATCCAAAAAAATGTTAAATATGTACTGCAAATGTTTATATAAAAATTATTATTAAATGTAAAGATTAATGCATTCATATCTTTATTGAAAAAAAAAATCCTGGCTAAGATTTTATCGAAAATAAATTTCTTATTACCTCCCTTAATTAACATGAAATGTTAAATTCGGTAATATCTTTACAAATAATGCTTTTTAACTTACAATATTGATAAATCCTTATTTGAGCATCATATTTATGATATAAAACCATAACAAAATTGCGTTCCAGGGCCTTTGATATCCCATAAGTAAATCAGGTTTTATTTTTGTAATTCAGTTAGTAGTGTTAATTTATTAACATACACTTTATGTGAATTTTACAATGTTGATATAATCGTTCAGAGAATGCCACATACTTTATATTTGAAGTTAGAAAAATTTATGTGCATCATTTTGTCATGAAACAAAGTAGTATTTTGACTTTAATACAGAATACTCATGCACTGTAACTGTTCTTGCAACAAGCCAAAACAGCAACAGACGAAAAAGATGGTTCAAGTAATTTGCCAATGAATAACTTTTACGATACTATAAAAATACACCAATATTTAAAAACTTTTGAGAAATAAAGCTAAAGCATTTCTGAGGCATAACGGGCCTTTAAGTGAATTGGACAATAAAAGATTGGACAATAAAAGAAGGTATTTAATAACATAAACAATCGTGTAAATAGTATAAAGTATTGTACGTGACAACAAACCACGAAAACATTATTGACCAATGTTGTTGGTAAATGTCAGATACATGATCCGATTTTAGATATCATTGCAAATTATAAATTGTTATTTCTCAACGGTTTAACTGTTTATTTACTTAATATCTCCTAAAATTACAATATTTCCCCCAAAAATATGTTATCAGGACACCATGACGATGTTTTTCTAATATTTTTATCAATATTTAAAATATACATATATTTATGGAAGATATTTCAATTGCAGACCAATTAACTTTGATACTAATGTTTTTTTTTCATGCAAGCATATGATAATAAATGAGCCGTGTCATGACAAAACCAACATCACGCGTTTGCGACTAGCATGGATCAAGACCAGCTTGCGCATCCGCGCAGTCTGATCAGGATCTATGATGTTCGCTTACAAACCGTATAACAAGTATAGAAAAAGATAGCGACTTGTATGTATAGAGCATTCTTGTAATGAGTGATACATTTGAGCCGCGTCACGACAAAACCAACATAACGCGTTTGCGACCAGCATGGATCAAGACCAGCTTGCGCCTCCGCACAGTCTGATTAGGATCCATGCTGGTCGCAAACCCGTTATGTTGTTTTGTCGTGACGCGCCTCAAATGTATCACTCAATACAAGAATGCTCTATACATCCAAGTCAGTTTTTTTTATAATTTCAGCTAGTATACTTACGTGCGTCTATACTTGATATAAAAATCTTAAACGACACTACCTCGTGTATGGTGATGGAATAAGAAACGGAAAAATCTACCATGAGTCCTCCTGTAATTTGACAATCTAATAATGTAAATCTCAATATCGTAAAAAGTCATACTGTAGCCATTTTTAAGATGTTTATATTATAAAGGTCAGTCATAAAAGAAATGTGGTAAAACGTATTCCTTCATAAAAGTTTTCTTGATTAAATTATGATAAACATTATCTTCTTTTTGAGAATCCTAAAAAAACGATCATAAAGATTAGAAAAAAAAGTCGATATAAAAATGTATCTCTTAAATTACACCATAATTTTATGTCATTCACGTCCGATGACGTCACCTTTATTATATTTTTGTTGAAAAATCTAAAGTTTCTTCAAGTTCAGCATTCCTAATGCAAAGGTGAGTAATTTAAGTTATTTTTATATTTTGCTTTATATATTTTAAGTGTGTTGATCTTTTACTCACTGTTATACATTGTTTTCTTTCGTAGAGTTATCTTATGCGACACAGAAATATCATATATTTTCCTGAGTGTTATAAAAATGTAAAATGCACAAATTACGTAAATTTTTAATTTATACGGACGCGTATTGTGACCCAAATCACGAAAATCTAGGTATTTTGTTATTAAATGTTGAATAACTAAAGAGTTCTCATTATTTATGACTTGTGGGAATCATAATTAAAATAAATATAAATGTTAACTTCATGTAAAAAAAACGTATTTTGTAATACATGATACATTGCTAAAAGAAATGTTTTTATTGCGGTATGTTACATGAAAATAGAAAGCGTATCCAAACATGATGTAATCAAGCTAAAACTTTTGCCTACTAATGAGGAGGTTGTAACTGGTTCTTTATACAATTCTTTTACTTCTTTACAAAATTTATGTCTTATGTTTGTAGCTATTTTTTATTCTATCAATCAATTTGCATAAGTCACATTTTATTGACAAAATGCAATAGATTCTACTTACCAAAAGGGTTGAAATATCAAAATTTACTTAAATACTAGGTTGTCATATTCGGAGAGAAAAAAAAGGTGTTAACAGACCAGACTTCAAAATTGCATTTGATATAGATTTTAATCTGATCTACTCTCATCTTAAACCATTTAATTTTTTTAAACATATTAAATTTGCTTCAATTGTTTTCTTTCGGAATGCTGTTTAGCTTGATAATCTACCCTTATGATACCATACCAAGTGGTATGTATATTTAATTAATGTTTTCCATGTGGTTTTCAGCATTTATAGAACAGTTGTTGCGTATTTAGATAGAAGAAGGATGTGCCCGTGACTACTTTATAAAGGAAGGGCGATTGATCTGACGAAAACAGGCGTTTTAGATATATCTTATTAAATAAATGTAAACAAAACAATTTGGTGTCTTTCAGGTTGGTTAACACAACAGATATATCAACACAAATTAACACCAATATCCTACAGCATGACTAACGGTAAACTAAATGTACAAACAAAAGGGTTTGCTCATACCAACATTATCTAAGGTAAGGCGTTTCCCTATTATACGTATCATTTTAATACTATCTTTTTGATAATGTTTTGGGGACTTATTTTCAGAGAAATATTGACTGCAAAAAAAAAATATTCAGCGAAAGGTAACAGCCTGAAACCCTGCCTTATACGTTTTGTCGAACATAACTTGATACGCTGATTGGATGTTGCAAGAATTTTTTCATTTCCAAGTTGAGTGAGGCTAAATGGGCCCTGTTTAAAAAGTATCTAGCATTTTTTAAAACAAATAAACAGTTAAATCAACGACATCTGTTTATATTTTGAATACATTGTTGCTGTGCCAGATTCAGTTTCGTGTGCTACTGCATAGATAACCTTTCTACAAGGATTCCATTTAAGTAAAAGCTAAATAGTTTTCTTTTAAAAGTTTTTTTTTTATTTTTAGTATACTTTTAAAATTTTCCAAAACAGTGCACTTCTCATTGACTAAAATATGACTCATCTTTTACCTATGCATTCTGGGAATAGGTTAAATGATAAGAGATTGTTTTTATATTTTTATTAACATTAACCCTTTACAAGTCATATAATAACATAAGCCTTTAAGCTTTACTGGTGTGAAGGAACACGTTTAGTGATTCTTGAGTATTACTTTAAGCGCGTTCACCACCAATATTCAATAAGCCAGTTGGTGATAGCTATGCCGCATAATACAGTCCAAAACCCAGGCAGTACTCTAACCTACAGTGGTAGAAAACAAGTGAAAAAATGTTTTCAATACTGAGGCTTAAAGCAGCACGCCTCCAGATTCATCCTAATGTTCATGACAATTTTGAAAATGTATTTAAAGGTAAAATATTGTGAAATGAACAAAGAAAGTACTTGACACATTACAATCCGCACTTAAATTTTACGTACATTACCAAAAAGTGGTCAAATATGCAAAAATAGCCCCTACTGCGTTAGTAACGCAGTAGAAATATGGTGATAAATACTGCAAAATGCAGTCATTAATTGCACATGATATATAGATAATTACTTGATTCATTAATTTGTTTACTTTTCTCAAAGTTTTAGTCTGTTTTTTCCAAGTTTAATTTTCTTGAAATATTTTGGGTCATCTTGAGGCATGCAGATTTAACGTGCGTCATTAATGCAAGCATTTTTGTAGATAATTCAATATAGAAATATAAATCTAAAAAACACAATCCTTGCTTACTTAACACTTCATTTTCATATGACATAAAATTGTTTCATTTTAAAAGCAGAATGCAAAGTTCGGTTATTTTAATAATCATCTTATGTTCACTGCGGTAAACCGTACCCCGGATATTGCTCGATATTATGAACACTTTCATCCCATTTCGCGACTTCGAACGAGGAAGGAAGTAAGTTCAGTGACGATATTTAGTCATTTGAAATTGGTTTGATATAAATTTTATAGAAAAACAAAATATTTAATATTTCGATAATTTCTCTAATTGCTGAAACCCCAAGAGTGTTAAGAAATAGCTTTGAAATGTAATTAGGAGGTAAAATTCGTCTGTTTGCTCACGTGATAAATGAGCTTGGATCAGTCAAATTTGATGTTTTTGTGCATATACTTCCTTAAAAAAAAAGCTTGAATCGAGTGAAATGTGATAATGATGATAATGTTTATGATGTAAATGTTCAATCAACAATAGAACCCCAGATGAAAGTGCATTTTGAAAATAAATACACATGTCAGTGTTGAGAGTATTGCTTTTTAGTGTAACGAGTATTGGTTATCAATATAGAGTAAATGCAAGTAGTAAGCACAGAGTATTTACCACATTTAATTTTCAATATTTCTTATTGTGTATACTTATTTACACTATATGTACAGAATATGCAGAGCTCGGAGGTACTTTACTGGAAACATCTGCAAATAATCCAGATTTTCATTCCTGCTCATGAAAGATCTCAGTCGAACGAACTCAGCCATTTTCTGTGTTTACAAGTTTTCGTTGCTATCGAAGGATCAACCTTTCCAGACTTTGTTGATAATTATTGCATATCGTACTCTAAATAGTAAAAAAAAGCATCCAAAGTGCATAAATGCTGCCTCAAGATTGTAAATATTAGATGGTATTGAGCAAGTGTGCCAATATCTTTTATCAACCGACTTCCTACTATGCCAAAAATCCATATAAAGGTAACTTTCGGTCATTTTGTACATGCACTCTATTAGCAATGAGTTACCGTATGACTGCCGAGCGGGTACAGCTAAAAAAATCGAATAATGGAGTTTGATAAGATTATGATAAAAGGCAGCAGATGCAATAAGAAGATTATGTTCCTTATTACCTTTTACCTCATAAAGGCGTGTTTTAGGGCTGTCTTGTGCTGTCTTGTTTTCGTTTGGGGTCCGCCTGGGCTCCTTGCCACTGGTTCGTGTTGCTGGGTCGTAGAGGGGTTGCGTTCATTGAACGCCGCCTTTCCTTTTCTTGTTTATCATATTTGACGGCTTTACATCCCACCCCTTTTAGGCCTCAAATAGTGTAAAACATGCGCTATTTAGAATTTTGAGTTTGAGAAATGTTGTTCAAAATAGTGTTCACCTTCGGCGCCACCACCCCCCCCCCCCCCATTAAAAAGGTACATCAAGGGGGTGCAACAGGGGGGGTGCCCCCTTCTGTTTGGGGGTTTGAAGTGGAACAGTAGCCCCTCTTATCGCCGAGAAGATTTGGGACTAGAGGGGGGGGGCTTAAATGGCCTCAGGTCGATTTAAACGTACCGTGTAATCAACGCCGAAAATCTTAGACTTTATCGCTATCAATTGAGAAGTTGCTGCACCTCGAAATCAGTTTTGATGGGGGAAAAACAACACAAACAAGAGATTTTCGGCAATTTTGAGACGTCCCCCGTTGTCATGGTAACTGGAAATTTATAATTGAGCACGGTGTTCCACAGGCTATGGTCCAGCCAACATTTGTGCCCAGTTTTATCAGTATTGAAGCATTAAGGCTTAAATCAATGAAAACCGGCTTTTTTCGCAATATGCTCATGCAGTAAAAGGTGAAGACGATATCGGCATGCTTGGACGGCATAAGCCGTCGGGGCAATATTTTACTAAGTGTGTCTTTTCCTTCTTTTCAGAGATGGGTCTCTCTTGAGACATGCATTTAAAGATTTTTATCTTCTATTTTGATTGTTCTACCCTGCTCCAGACCCTGCTTCCGACCCTGCACACACTTTATTTCATCCATAGTGTGATATTCAATCAAATGGGAAATTAAATCTCTGTATTTGCCCGTGGGAGAAGAACAGTAATAAAACTGAAAATGCATTGTTGAATCTGAATATTTGAATAAATATCATATGAACAGTACATCATCAGCAGAATGTAATGGAATCGATAAACAGACGTGAAAATTAGACACAAATATCGATTTTTCATACTAATGTGCTCATTTTGTTTTGCAATACACTGTACATTAAAGTTGGGCTATTTTGCAATACTCTGTACACTTAAAATCAATACTCGGTACACTTTTTTGAATCTTTTTTGGCCTGTATCATTTTTGTACTTTCACAGATCGTTTAGATGTAGTTTAATC